GGTCACATCAGAAGGTGGTGGAGAAGCTCGCTTGGCAGCTGCCGCCGCCACCACCGCTGCACGTCTCCTCCCAGCGGCTGCCTCGGCTCCCTTTTGCCTGCCAGCTGAGTCGGCAGGCTGTGTGGTTTAAGGGAAGTGGGAAGGGAGAGAGGCCAGGCAACCCCGAATGGGCCTTGGTGGGAGGTCGTGGGATGGTCGAGTGGGAAAGGGACCGTGAGGGTCACCTAGTCCAACCCACTTGCAGTGCTAGGAGTCCTTCACCCCCCAAAATCCCACGATCCTGAGGTCGAGAAGTGCATGTACATGCACCTCCTTTTCTGGTGTTCCGCTGCCACCTCTTCTCCCAACAGCCGCCACCCCGCCGGTCAGGCTTCTTTGTCTTTTAACTACAGCAGGACGGGTGGAAATTCCACTGGCAGAGTTTATCATTGCACGTGAGTGGCACGACACATTAAAAAAGCAAAGGGAGCCCTGTTGGTTCATTTTTTTAAAAAAAAGCCTCCAAAATGCACTGTTAGGTAAATAACCTGTATTAGGAGCAACCAGAATGTCACAAAATTGTGGCAAGACTTGGAGTTATCCAGAATTCTTTGTTGTACTTTTGACTTTATAAAAGGTCTTTGTGCTATTTTGCTCTTGCCATAAAAAGTGTTTCCAGGTAAATCAGCACACGAAGCAGCTTGGTATCACGCCTGCCAACAGTTGGCAGATCTGGGTACAAAAAAAGTGCATAGAGTACTAAAAAAAGAACACCTGCACCTGTACTACTCTATACTTTAGGATCTGCTTTGGATACTCTGCTGGCATGCCTACCCTATGTCAAGAAGGGTTGCTACAGGGAGAGGCCCTTCTCTGGTGGTGTCACAAGTATGGGCCTAACTCCCATATCTCTCTGTTGCAGGCAATAATAATTTGAGCACTGACAGCACCTAATTCTTTTACAGTCTGATCTTATGCAGAATTAGGCATCCTAAAGCAGTTTAAATAAATGGGCATAATCATTCCCAACAATGCATAAGATCAAACTCTGGAGTGAATATGATCATGTGCATATATTCATTTTAAAATAGGTAAAGGGACCTCTGACCATTAGGTCCAGTCGTGACCGACTCTGGGGTTGCGGCGCTCATCTCACTTTATTGGCCAAGGGAGCCGGCGTACAGCTTCTGAGTCATGTGGCCAGCATGACTAAGCCACTTCTGGTGAAACCAGAGCAGCACATGGAAACGCTGTTTACCTTCCCGCCGGAGCGGTACCTATTTATCTACTTGCACTTTGAGGTGCTTTTGAACTGCTAGGTTGGCAGGAGCAGGGACTGAGCAATGGGAGCTCACCCCGTTGCAGGGATTCGAACCGCCGACCTTCTGATCAGAAAGTCCTAGGCTCTGTGGTTTAACCCACAGCACCACCCGCATTTTAAAATAAAAGACAATTAAAAGCTTTCTGCTGCTGTTCTGGAGGGTGGCTTGAGTATTTGTATAAATCGCATGCACTTTTTGTGACTGTTTTTTCCGTAGTGTATTTTTACTTATGCTTATATTATCATAATCATTGTTATTAATAAAAATTGATATATTTGGAGCTTGTAGAAAGATTGAGGCCGTATTTGGGAATATTTGTCCCACATGTGGACAGCGTTAAGCTGCAGGATATAAGCCAAATGTATATTCTAGCCATTTTTTGCATCATTAGAAGCATTTGAATCACAGAACAATGTTATGCCTGATTCTTCACAACTCAGAGCTGTGTGCTTCCTCCCTTCCACCTTTGTAGACCTAAGCACTTGCTTCTACTACAGAATTCTTTTCTTGGTACTTCTGTACTATGCAGGGCCATCTTGAAACTTTTAAAGTTGCACTAGTCAGTGGCCCCAAGAGTCCAGGGTTGAGAGATAAGCAATCCGACTCTGGAGTGGCAATCCAGGTTGCACCTTACTTTTCACCAGGAGGACTCCGTCCAGCTCTAGAGCATACTAACCTGCCAGGAAGAGCAAGAGTGTTTTATTCCCCCATTGCTGGTTGTGGGGGTCTCCATATTCCACATAGGTACTTGTTTTCCTTCCTGTCTGAAAAACGCAAGGTGGCTGAACGAGCCATGAAAGCTTCCTTGCATTTTTGCAACTGTGGATTGCAAAGTCATGCATGGAGCACCTTTTCCTGTTAGTATCTTACTGACAACGCAAGGAGCCTCCTCCTTCATTGAGGAGATTGCTACTTAAAGCCAAAGTTGGCCTGACTTGACTTTAAAAAGAAAATTCAAGTAACAACTCTTGTAAATAAGGAAAAACAATACACTTTTTATTCATATGCAAATAACTCAGCAAGCCGAATAGATGCAATATGGGCTTCCAATAATCTCATCCCGCTAATAAACAAAGAAGATATTACCTAAATCACTATCAAACCAATAATGCTGGAAATGAGACAAAATAAAAAGATAAAAGTTGGAGAATGAATGACTGTTAAATTATGGGGAAATTGTAGAAAAATCCCAAAAATCATTGAATGATTTTTTTGAAATAAACATGGCACAAGACATGGACCTAAGAATAATACGGGACGCTGGAAAGGCTTATATAAGAGGTTTTTATATACAGCAAAATATAACACAAAAAAGAATGAGAGAATCCAAGGTAAACCAAATTCAACAAGATATAGCACAACAAGAGAAATTATTAGCAAAATCACCAAACTATGTGACTTTAAATCAAAATATCAAAATATTGCAAGCACAGCTCTCAACATTATCAAGCAATGAAATGGAGAACATTAAATGGATGAAACAAAAGTCATTTGAATTAGGTAATAGACCAGGTAAGCTTCTTGCATGACAGATAAAGAAAAAACAAAGAGAAAGGCAAATAAATAAAGTAATCCATGAAGGAAAGACATTAGATATGGAAGAAAAGATAAATAAATGCTTCATAAATTACTTTACCAAATTATATAGAAGAGGACCAGAAACGGAACAAGAAATAATAAATTATTTAAAGGGGAAACAAATACCAAAAATAAATGAAAATAAAATGGAACAACTAAATGCACCAATTTCAATAATGGAACTTCATCAAGTAATTACTAATCTCAAACTTGGAAAAGCCCCAGGCCCAGACAGACTACCTGCGATTCACTACAAAAAGTTAGAGGATGTTTTAGAAGAATAAGGGTGGAAAAGTTAGAATAATATTATGTCAAATTTAAACAAATTGATATAAAGGGAAAAATTGGAGACATAATAGTTGAAATGTATATTACAGAATAAGATTTGAAAGAGGGTAAGGTACTGCTGAATATGATTGTGTAAAAGGGAACACTGTAAAGGGAGATGTGAGGGAGTCTGGAAGGAAGGTTACAAAAGCAAGAACTAAGAAATCGGACTTTTATGTTTTTTTTTCTATGTCTTTTTTTTCCCCTTGTCTATTTTTTTACGTTTTTTACTGTATTTTTTATTTTTACTTGATTATGATAATGTTTTTCTCTTTTCTCTTGTTTTGATTGTGAAGTTTGTTCTATTGTTTAAAACTTTAATAAATATATTTTTTTTAAAAAACCAAAAAGTTAGAGGATGTTATTATACTACCTCTAAAAACCTTAATGAACAACATTATGCGAGAAGGCAAGATCCCAAAGTCATGGCAGGAAGCAAACATTACGCTAATCCACAAACAAGGTAGAGAGAGAATCAGTAAGCAATTACAGACCCGTTTCATTGCTGAACAATGATTAAAAACTGTTTGCGGGTATCCTAGCAAGCAGACTGAAAATAGCGTTACAGGATATCATAAACCAACATCAACCAGGATTTCTCCGAAACAGACATATAAAAACAAATACGAGAGTGGTAATTGATTTATTGGAATATTTGGAGCTAAGGCCAAGCAAAAGAGCAGTGTTTATGTTAATAGACGCCGAGGCTTTCGATAATTTATCAAGCGCATTTCTACAGAGTACAGTGGTGCCTCGCAAGACGAAATTAATTCATTCCACGAGTTTTGTCGTCTTGCAATTTTTTTCGTCTTGCGAAGCACGGTGTCGGAAAAGTTTTGGAAAAGCTTCAAAAATCACCAAAGTCTTCAAAAACCTCAAAAAAGGCTACCACACCGCGTGCTATGAGTTGCTCCTCGAAGTCAAGTCGTAACTGTATTAACGGTGTTAAGAAAAAGGAAACAAACTTGCAAGACGTTTCCATCTTGCAAAGCAAGCCCATAGGGAAAATCGTCTTGCGAAGCAGCTCAAAAAACAAAAAACCCTTTCGTCTTGCGGGTTTTTTGTCTTGCGAGGCATTCGTCTTGCGAGGTACCACTGTACTGGAATCAGCATCATTGGGGGAATACTACTGCACAGGTATAAAAGCAATATATGAGAAGCAGCAAGCTAGTTTAATAATTAACAGTGTCAAGACCGAATGTTTTTCAGTGGAAAAGGGCACCAGACAAGGGTGCCCTCTCTCACCTCTGCTTTTTATACTGACATTAGAGATTTTGATTTCAGAAATAAGAGAAGATAAAGAGATCAAAGGAATTAAGTAGGTAAAGAGGTTTTTAAAATCAGAGCCTTCGCGGATGGCATTATTTTAACAATGGAAGAACAGAAACAAGCATCACTAAAGCAACAGAGATAATAAATCATTTTGGTAAGGTGTCTGATTTTAAGATAAATAGGGTAAAGAATGGAGGAAAGATATAACGAGATTCATTTGGCAAGGCAAGAAACCTCAGATAAAATATAAGCTTTTGACAAATAAAATAGAGAGGGGAGGGCTAGCACTGCCAAATTTAAAATTATACTACAAGGCAGAATGTTTAATATGGGTAAAAGATTGGATTATACTGGAGAAAACTAACATCTTAGATCTTAAAGGTTTTAACAGATATGGATGGCATGCCTATCTCAATTACGAGAAGGCAAAAGTCCATAAAGATTTTACAAATCATTTACTCAGGAATGCATTATATAAAGTCTGGAACAAATATAAATTGCAACTGGAACCACAGACCCCCTGGTGGCTTTCGCCGCTGTAGGCGCATGCTATGAAAAAACTTAATATGAGAACAAACTGGGCATCATATAGACTACTACTGGAGGAAGATCAAGGAAAACTCAGACTAAAACACTATGAGGAGATACAACAATATGTGTCATATAGATGGCAATACCTGCAAGTAAGAAGTGTATTTAATCGGATCTAAAAAAAGGTTTTGTGAAAGAGGATTCTAAATTGAGCACCACAATATTACAAAATAATAAGAAAATATTGTCTAAAGCATATAATCTTTTACTTGATTGGGAACTGATGGATGAAGAAGTGAAAGAAACTATGATCAAATGGGCTAAAGACATCGGGCATACGATATACTTAGAGCAATGGGAGAAATTCTGGCGAGAGGATATAATATTTACTGCCTCTTATACAATTAAAGAAAATTTTGTTAAAATGTTCCACAGGTGGTATTTAAACCAGTTAAGCTGGCCAAAATCTATAAATTGAAATCCATCCTCTGTTGGAAATGTGGCAAAGAAGCAGGAACAACAATACACATGTAGTGGGTTTGTGAGGAGATTAAGAAATTTTGGGAAATAATACATCAGGAATTAAAGAAAAGGTTGAAAATCCCAGTTGTTAAAAAACCAGATGCATATCTCCTAGGCTTGATAGGGAAAGATATACCACAAGTGGAAAAAAGATTTTTTCTATATGCAACTACGGCAGCCAGGGTAGTGATTGCTTCTAAATGGAAATTTCATTTCTTGCCCTCAAAAGAGGAGTGGATTTTCAAATTAAATGAATATTTAGAACTGGCAAAGCTAACCACAATCATAAGATATCAGTCAAATCAACTTCCTGGGATGGTCGGGGGAAATGCTCTGTTGCAGTAAAGAGCGCTCTCAGTCACAGGTACGGGCTAAAAGGACGGGGAAGTGAGGGCGACGCGAACCCTGAAGAGGTCTGAGAGGAGGTTCCAGACTGAAGAAAATAGATCCAAGCAGCGCATAAAGGGGTTTTCTGCCGTTCCAGCACAAACAAGTGGAGGAAGGTGGAAGAACCTCAGCGCAGAAAGATCGCACACCCGACCGTGAGACGCCCCTTTGACCCAAATGAGAAAGCACCAGGCTGTTGCAAACTAAAACTGTAAAATCAAGAGTACTCCTGAAGAAATAAATTAATAACGTTGGCTTAAAATAAAAGGAGTACGGACTAATTTAAGATTATAAAGGACAGTAAAGCAAACTGAGAGGCGCTTCAGTGTTGAGACTTAACAAGTTGTGGAAAATAAGCCTTGTAAAGAGGCAGAAAATAAAAACAGAGACATATTGAACACCTGCTTCTACAGGAGGATGCACTGTTGAGAGACAAAGAGCTGAAACAGCAAGCTGCAGCAACAGTGGTGACAACAAAGCAGTGGCCATTGAGAAGGAGATCAGCATAAAACAGAGTGGTGAGTGAAAAAAGAGGGGGAGGAATGTGGAGGATACAGTGGGGAAGAGAAGGAGTAGAAAAGATTTGAAGACCAGGGAGCGGGGGGAAGATAAAGATAAAGAAGTGAAAGGGAAGAAGAGATATATGAAGGAAGAGAAAAAAGGAGGAAAAAGCAGATGGTGAAAATGGCGCTGGGGGGGAGTATGAGTCACTGCCCTCAGAAGGGAAAAAAGTCGGAAGAAGAATAGTGGTGGAAACAGTCACTGCAACAAACAGAGGCTAGAGGAATAAAATAAGAAGGACCACCTCACAAGCAAACTGGAAAATTCCACTATCTAGTGGTGGAAAATAAAATTACTCCCACAATTTAAAAAACGCGGCAAAGACACAGGTTTGAAATACAACCATAAAGATGTTGTTGTTTAGTCGTTTAGTCATGTCCGACTCTTCGTGACACCATGGACCAGAGCACGCCAGGCACTCCTGTCTTCACTGCCTCCCGCAGTTTGGTCAAACTCATGTTTGTAGCTTCGAGAACACTGTCCCAACCATCTCGTCCTCTGTCGTCCCCTTCTCCTTGTGCCCTCCACCTTTCCCAGCATCAGGGTCTTTTCCAGGGAGTCTTCTCTTCTCATGAGGTGGCCAAAATCTTGGAGCCTCAGCTTCAGGATCTGTCCCTCCAGTGAGCACTCAGGGCTGATTTCCTTCAGAATGGATAGGTTTGATCTTCTTGCAGACCATGGGACTTTCAAGTCTCCTCCAGCACCATAATTCAAAAGCATCAATTCTTCGGCGATCAGCCTTCCTTTATGGTCCAGCTCTCACTTCCATACATCACTACTGGGAAAACCATAGCTTTAACTATACAGACCTTTGTTAGCAAGGTGATGTCTCTGCTTTTTAAGATGCTGTCTAGGTTTGTCATTGCTTTTCTCCCAAGAAGCAGGCGTCTTTTAATTTCGTGGCTGCTGTCACTGTCTGCAGTGATCATGGAGCCCAAGAAAGTAAAATCTCTCACTGCCTCCATTTCTTCCCCTTCTATTTGCCAGGAGGTGATGGGACCAGTGGCCATGATCTTCGTTTTTTTGATGTTGAGCTTCAGACCATATTTTGCGCTCTCCTCTTTCACCCTCAATAAAAGGTTCTTTAATTCCTACTCACTTTCTGCCATCAAGGTTGTGTCATCTGCATATCTGAGGTCGTTGATATTTCTTCCGGCAATCTTAATAAAGTTAATCTTAATAAAGATAACTAGCTATATATGAAAGGACATCTGAAATAGCAAGCTTAGCTTCTAAAAAATTAGTTCTTAAGACAGATTTCAAGTACTGCAAAGGCTTTTTTTTTTACAATTGCCAAAATAAAATACAATAAAATAAAATATTCAATTAAATTTATATAATAATAATGACTAAAAAATTAAGCATTTGAGATGAACTGGTAACAACATAGTAAAAAACCACCGGAATTTTAACTGACTTTCAATCCCAACAGATGAAATAAAAGGACGAAAATAAAAGATATAAACAGAACAACCTCAAAGTTTAGAAATATAATACTCTTTGGCTGAAGTAAAGACATTTAAGTAATTTCGTTGTCCCCGAGAGGGGGCAATGACAATAAAGATATTATTATTATTATTATTATTATTATTATTATTATTATTATTATTTAAATCAGAACCAAAAGGAAGAAGATGAATATGGGGTCTAAAAAATACCAAATTACACTGACAACTGGGTCAGGACTACAAGTGAGAAGACAATCAACAGCTGAAACGGACCCCAACGCTGACATAAAAGATCTTATAATGGGGATGGAAAAGAGCTTGAGTGATAAGCTAGACATATTAGTTGGCAACATCCAACAAAACTCAAAGCTAATAATAGATGTAACAACACAAATAAGTGACCTCTCACTTAAAAATAAAGAACTTGACAAATCTGTACAAGAACTCAAAAGTAAAACCACCAAACAAGAGGAAATGACAAAGAAGTTGCAAAATGAAAATAAGGACATTAAAAAATCACAAGACTCAACAAAGGACGAAACAAGCGACTTAAAGAGAGCCCACGAAGAGATACTTGACATATCGTTGTTGGAGATGCGTCAGAAGGAGATGGTTCTCCGCTTCCGAGGCGTCCCACAAACTCATGATGAGCAAATTCAAGAGAAATTATCACACGAAATTGCAAACTGGTTGGGAGTAAAGCAGAAGAGATGCTAATGGATATTGATAAAATTTTCAGGATCAAATCAGAAAGATTGGACACTTATAAAGGGCCAGGAGATTGCTTAATTTTTTTTCAATTCAAGACTTCTAAAGGACAAAATATTACAACAAAAGGCCCAAGTGAAATTAATAATAGATGGCAGACCCATCAAAGTATTTAAGGAAATCCCAAAAAGAATTTTGAGAAAAAGGCAGAATTAGTAACAGATGCACTCAAGAAGAATTCGATTAGATTCTGGTGGGAATTTCCGGAGGGTATCACTTTTATATACAAGGACAGAAGAAAAACTTTTAGATCAGTGGACGAGTTGGGAAAATTCTGGAGGAAGTACAAAAAAGAACTAACTGGCAATTCAACGTTGGAGCGAGAAGAAGCAACACAGACACCTCAAGAAGGATTAGAGAGACAAGTGGGTATTAAGAGAGGGGGGAAGAGACTGGAAAAAACAGTATCAAAATTCACAAACTTCTGAGTTTTCCTTTCTTTTTATTTATTCAATGATACCATTATAGATAACAAATAAAGATTAATGAATTTAAAAATTATATCTTGGAATGTTAACAGTTTAAATAAGAGAAAGAGAATAGAATATGTATTGAGGAAAGGACAATGGGGTATCATATGCTTGCAGGAGATCCATGTGACTAGAAATCATAGAAGGGTTTTAGTAAACAAGAGATTGGGTCAAGAATTTATATCCTCAGATGTAAAAAAGAAAAGGGGAATTGTGATCTATGTAAACCCTAGACGCAAAAAAAATCTTTAAGGATGATGAGGGTAGATTATTAGGGGTAAAAATAACAAATGGTAAAGAACATTTAATTATAGTAGGAATTTACGCACCGAATGGTAACAAAACAGAATTTTTCATAAAAGTAGAAGCTAATTTACTGGAATTTATAGAAGAGGAAATTATTTTGATGGGAGACCTAAATGGTGTTACATCAATAGAACTAGATAGGACAGAAAGAGAAAGAAAATCAAAAAAGGTAGACTCCCAGACACCTTCTTTCAGATGGTAGAAAACCTAAATTTGATTGACGTATGGAGATATAAAAACCCAGGAGAAAGACAGTATACACATTTCTCGGGAGTAAAAAGTGCAATAAGGAAAAGAAATAGAGAGCAAAAACTAGAACAAATAAGGAAAGAAATAGGAATAAATGAAAAATTATTAACAAAACAACCAAAAAATGAATTAGTAAGCCAAAAATTAAAAATACTACAAACTCGGGCATCAGAAATATTAAATAGTGAAATCAGGGACAATATAAAATGGATGAAACAAAGGTCGTTTGAATTTGCAAATAAACCCGGAAAGATGGAAGACGAGGAGCAAAGGCAGTCCTCTGGGAATGTCCAGGCGACCTTGGAACCGACAGCTCACAGAAGAACCCCGACCAGACCTAAGAGGAGGCGTGTAGTGGTGATAGGGGATTCCCTACTGAGGGGAACAGAAGCAGTGATCTGTGGGCCTGACAAGATGTCTCGGGAAGTGTGCTGTCTCCCCGGGGCTAAGATCCAAGATGTAACTGAACGACTGCAAGGGATCATAAAACCCACTGACAAATACCCCTTCCTCTTGGTTCATGTGGGAACCAATGACACTGCAAGCAATAGCCTCCAGAAGATCAAAAGAGATTACGAGGCTCTGGGCAGGAAATTGAAGCAATTAAATGCACAAATTGTCATCTCATCTGTCCTCCCAGTTGAACGACGTGGCCCAGGGAGAGAGGGAAAAATAGTGGAAGTGAACAACTGGCTTCGCAAATGGTGTAAACAGGAACAGTTTGGATTCTTAGATCACGGAATGCAGTTTCTTGAAGATGGACTTCTGGCAAGCGATGGGCTGCACCTCACAATGGTTGGGAGGAATGTTTTTGCAAAAAATCTCAGAAACCTCATCAGGAGGGCTTTAAACTGACTAATGTGGGGGAGGGAGACAGTGCTCCTGAAGGTAGGAGGCTATCAATTGATGAAGATGATCATCCAAATGTCATAGACCGAATGGAGCAAAGAGCATGCAGACCTAGTGGTGGGAGGAAAAAATCCTTAAATAAGAGACACGGGGGAATGATTAATGGACTTCAATGTCTGTACACTAATGCGCAAAGCATGGGAAATAAACAAGATGAGCTTGAGCTCCTGGTACAGCAAACTAAATATGACATAATAGGAATCACTGAAACCTGGTGGGATAAATCCCACGATTGGAATGTAATAATGGAGGGATACAATCTATTTCAGAGAAACAGACCAGACAAGAAAGGAGGAGGAGTGGCGTTATATGTCAGGAATGTGTATACCTGTGAAGAGATCCAAGATTTAGAACCTCAAAGCCAAAGTGAGAGCATTTGGGTCAAAATTAAGGGAGAGAAGAATAACAGTGACCTCATTGTGGGAGTTTACTATAGATCCCCAAGCCAAACGGAGGACATAGATGATGCCTTCCTGGAACAGATGGCCAAGCATGCAAAAGGAAGGGAGATAGTAGTAATGGGGGACTTCAATTACCCGGATATTTGTTGGGTGTCAAACTCAGCCAAGAGCATAAGGTCAAACAGATTCCTCACTGCCCTTGCAGACAACTTCATTGTCCAGAAAGTGGGAGAAGCAACAAGAGGAACAGCCATTTTAGATCTGGTCCTAACCAATGTTGATGACCTGGTTAGTGGGGTAGAAGTGGAAGGATCATTAGGCGCGAGTGATCATGCTCTTCTGAAGTTTACTATACAGCGGAAAGGAGCAGCCAAGCATACTAGGACTCAAGTTCTCGACTTTAAGAAAGCCGACTTCAGAAAGCTTAGGGAAGTGCTGGGTGAGATCCCATGGACAGTAATACTAAAAGGAAAGGGAGTTCAAGATGGCTGGGAGTTTGTTAAGAGGGAGATAGTAAAAGCACAACTTCAGGCAATACCAATGAGACGGAAACATGGAAGGTGCCTAAAGAAGCCAGGGTGGCTATCTAAAGAACTTTTAACTGAGTTAAGATTAAAAAAGGATGTGTACAAAAAATGGGAAAGGGGGGAAACCACCAAAGAGGAATTCAAACAAATAGCCAGCACGTGTAGACACAAAGTCAGAAAAGCTAAAGCACAAAATGAACTCAGGCTTGCTAGAGAGGTTAAAAGCAACAAAAAAGGCTTTTATGGGTATGTTCGTAGCAAAAGGAAGAACAAAGAAACCGTGGGGTCACTCAGAGGAGAAGATGGTGAAATGCAAACAGGGGACACAGAAAGGGCTGAACTCCTCAATGCCTTCTTTGCCTCAGTCTTCTCCGATAAAGAAAACAATGCCCGACCTGAAGAATTTGGAGCAAATGATTCAGCAGAGGAAACACAGCCCAGAATAACTAAGGAGATAGTACAAGAATACTTGGCTAGTCTAGATGTATTCAAGTCTCCAGGGCCAGATGAACTGCATCCAAGAGTATTAAAAGAACTGGCAGATGTGATTTCAGAACCACTGGCAGTCATCTTTGAGAATTCCTGGAGAACAGGCGAAGTCCCGGCAGACTGGAGGAGGGCAAATGTTGTCCCTATTTTCAAAAAGGGGAAAAGAGAGGACCCAAATAATTACCGCCCAGTAAGTCTGACATCAATACCAGGGAAGATTCTGGAGCAGATCATTAAGCAAACAGTCTGTGAGCACCTAGAAAGGAATGCTGTGATCACCAATAGTCAGCATGGATTTCTGAAAAATAAGTCATGTCAGACTAACCTGATCTCGTTTTTTGACAGAATTACAAGCCTGGTAGATGAAGGGAACGCAGTGGATGTAGTCTACCTTGATTTCAGCAAGGCATTTGACAAGGTGCCCCATGATATTCTTGTAAAGAAGCTGGTAAAATGTGGTCTTGACTATGCTACCACTCAGTGGATTTGTAACTGGCTGACTGACCGAACCCAAAGGGTGCTCATCAATGGTTCCCCTTCATCCTGGAGAAGAGTGACTAGTGGGGTGCCACAGGGTTCTGTCTTGGGCCCGGTCTTATTCAACATCTTTATCAACGACTTGGATGATGGACTCAAGGGCATCCTGATCAAATTTGCAGATGACACCAAACTGGGAGGGGTGGCTAACACCCCAGAGGACAGGATCACACTTCAAAACGACCTTGACAGATTAGAGAACTGGGCCAAAACAAACAAGATGAATTTTAACAGGGAGAAATGTAAAGTATTGCACTTGGGCAAAAAAAATGAGAGGCACAAATACAAGATGGGTGACACCTGGCTTGAGAGCAGTACATGTGAAAAGGATCTAGGAGTCTTGGTTGACCACAAACTTGACATGAGCCAACAGTGTGACGCGGCAGCTAAAAAAGCCAATGCAATTCTGGGCCTCATCAATAGGAGTATAGCATCTAGATCAAGGGAAGTAATAGTGCCACTGTATTCTGCTCTGGTCAGACCTCACCTGGAGTACTGTGTCCAGTTCTGGGCACCACAGTTCAAGAAGGACACTGACAAACTGGAACGTGTCCAGAGGAGGGCAACCAAAATGGTCAAAGGCCTGGAAATGATGCCTTATGAGGAACGGCTAAGGGAGCTGGGCATGTTTAGCCTGGAGAAGAGGAGGTTAAGGGGTGATATGATAGCCATGTTCAAATATATAAAAGGATGTCACATAGAGGAGGGAGAAAGGCTGTTTTCTGCTGCTCCAGAGAAGCGGACACGGAGCAATGGATCCAAACTACAAGAAAGAAGATTCCACCTAAACATTAGGAAGAACTTCCTGACAGTAAGAGTTGTTTGACAGTGGAATTTGCTGCCAAGGAGTGTGGTGGAGTCTCCTTCTTTGGAGGTCTTTAAGCAGAGGCTTGACAACCATATGTCAGGAGTGCTCTGATGGTGTTTCCTGCTTGGCGGGGGGTTGGACTCGATGGCCCTTGTGGTCTCTTCCAACTCTATGATTCTATGATTCTATGATTCTATGGTAGCCTGGCAATTGAAAAAGAGACAAAAGGAAAAACTAATTGATAAAATAGTGGAAGAAGGGAGAACTTTAGATAACCCCTAGGAAGTTAAAAAATGCTTTATAAAATATTATAAGAGGCTATATAAAGTAGGAACTGAGACAGAGGATGAAATAAAAGAGTATTTATGTGGAAAGGACATACCTAAAATTAAGAAAGAAAAGCTAGCTCCAAGACCTAAACTCTCCAATAACCATGACAGAGCTACATCAAGCGATAAGTAAGATGAAATTAGGAAAATCCCCGGGCCCGGACGGTCTTACCACAATACATTACAAAAAATTAGAGGAATCACTATTATCACCTATGATGATACTCTTAAATAGAATACTAGAAGATGGGAAGATTCCCAATACCTGGAAGCAGGCTCATATAGTAGTAATCCCGAAACAAGGACGAAATAAGGAGTTCATAACCAATTATAGACCAATATCACTACTCAATAATGACTACAAGATTTGTGCACAAATATTGGCAACAAGATTAAAAACAGTTTTGCAGGATTGTATAAACAAAGAGCAGGCAGGATTCTTGCCAGGCAAGAAAATGAGCCTTAGGGTTAGGGTT